ACTGAAAGTCACATTCATTTTCAATAATCTAGGCTGTAATACATCCAATTAAATAACTGACTTCTTTACTTGTAATGAAAACCATAGGGCCAAGGGTTGTAAATGCAAATGTTGTCCTCTGGCTCAACTCCGGTTGCTCAAGTGCCACTGTCCAGGTTTTCTAGTTGTCTTTAAATCTCTAGCTTCACAAGGACAAGAAAAGGTGGCAACCTGTCCAATTAAGCAACAAAGGAGCAATGAATGAGTTCAATTAGGTAATTAAGGGCTCAGAGGGAAGGAAAATCAGAATCCCAACAACCAGAAAGTTGTGCAGTCCTGCTCCAGGTCTGCTGACCTTTGCTTGCTTAATTGAGCCCTCAGATGAACCAGTCGTTGGAAAAGACCTTTTTTACTTGTTTTGCATTTCCAAAAATATGGCGATTGGAAATTGCCTATGAATGTTTTGTAGGTCAATCAAATCACAGACAGCTCCAGAACTATCTACAGCTCTAAAAGGGAAGGGGTAAGATATTAGTTATATTTTGTTATTCTATTAAATAATCTAGAGTCTGGTTGGAGGCAAAACCCGCAGAGACTTGGATCATGAGGATCTGGATTGAGAAGCCCACCTTTAGGTCTTGAGCATGAAAGTCATTCCGTGGCGGAAAATGAAATTCACTCCTGGTCCTGGAGGAGCAAGGTCTATCTCCTAGGTTTACGCGCAGCTTGGAATCACCACGGAGAAAAGACCTGGAAAGAGCAGTAACACAGATCAGTTAAGTGAACAATTGATTCCACTCAAGCGATTAAGTGCCCAGGCTGGAATGAAAACCAGGGGAGAGAATCCTGTAGGATCAGGAGTGAATTTCAATGCAGCAGAGAAGGAAAGAGCACTTGTTCAAACAGGTGTGGTTTTCTTTGGGGGGAGAGAAGAATTGATCAGCTGGTTCTGGGACCAAAAGGGTGAAACGAATGTTTGCCCTAACTTCTTGCTGGTATGAAGTCATGGAGAGAGGCTGGATGATCTTTATAACTGTGCTTCCTGACTTGTTAACCTTTCCTCCCGGTCTTCTGCTGCTCCCTGCACTAACTAGTTCCTGT